CGCGCATCCATTCGCTCTCGGACTACGACGACGACGACGGTGACGCGCCGATGGACGAGGACGACGATGCGGGCGAGGTGTCGGCGCGCGGCGCGACCATGTCCTCGATCGTGTTCCGCGACCTCTCTTCGGCGGGCAGCAGCCGATCCGCATCGCCCTGGCAGCACAACGGTACGAGCGCAGGCCTCGCCATGTTTGCAACGTCGTCGTTTGGCGGAGATCCGCTGCGCGTGCTCGCGAATCTGGACGAAGAGCTCGGTGCAGCTCATATGGGACCGCGCATCTACAAGCGGCACAACCACAAACACGTGCGCAACCGCGTCAAGGCAAAGATCGGCGCTGCACATGCAGGGATACCGCCCCAAAACGCGGGAGGGAAGAACGCGGAAGCTAAGATTGGCGGTGTGTCAGGCGAGACGTCGGCAAGCGTCGGAAGAAAGGCGCCGGATGTGCAGACGCAGCAGATGCGCAATCTGGATCTGCAGGAGCTGGTTGAGCAGTGCCGTCGCGCCAACACTCTTGCGGCTGTGCAGAGTCGAGTCGCTAGCTTGCCGCCAGCTGCTGTTGGAGACGGTAACGGCGCGCCAGAGACGAGGTTGCTCGCAGCAGTCGAGGCACGTATTGCAGACCCCGCCACTTGGTCGTCATACCACCACTCGGCGCAGGGGGTTTTGACGGACGATTTGCTCCCGACTGGTCTGCAGCAGCCGAACCTTGGCCTGGACGTGCTTCCATCGTCGCTCCAGGTTGAGGTGCGACAGGCGGTGCTGCGAGGGCTTGGGCAGCTGGTGGATGGGCTGGTGCATGCGGCTCGCGGCGAGCTGGTCGAGGTGCTGGCGCAGCTCCTGCTCCTGCGTGCTCTGCGTCCCACGGCTGCGCGGGTGAAGTTCGATGCACAACTCGCTACCTCACTTCAGCAGATCTTTCTGGGCGTGCTGGGTGTGCTTCACCGCGCCACCGACTCGGCAGCAACATCAGTGGAGCTTCTTGCCGACGTCCTTGCACGATGCACGGCCCTCGCTGCAACGCACACAAACGCGCAAGACGACGTGCTCGTTGGGCTTGTGGGCGAGCTGGTCGGGCTGTGTGGGCAGCAAATGTCTTCGAACCCCGCCGTGCTCTCGCCCGAACAGGACGCCACGCTTGTGTCGCTGGCGCGCTTTCTGTCGCTGTGCTTTGTGCACAACTCCACGCGCGCGGCCGAACATCGACTGCCCGTCCACGCGTTCTACTGCACTGTGCTCGACCTAGCGCCGTTCCTGGAGCACTTTGTGCACCATGCGGCGTCGCGCGTGCGGCTCGCCACACCCGCCGCGGGCATGGCGAAGTTCAACGTGTGCCAGGCAGCGTACCTTGTCTCGCTCGGCGCCAAGGTGCGCATGATGCAGCTCGAGAATGAGGTGCGTCTTGCCCGCCTCAGTCCCCGCACGGGAGCGCAGAGGTTGGGTCTCCAGCACAGCAAGGGAGAGGCGGAGCTGGTGGTGATGCCCGGTGCGCTGTCGCTCAAGATCGAGCGCAGGGCAGCGTGGATGCAGAGTCGCGAGTTGCTGACGCAGGTGCTCGAGGGCGAGGTCGATCAGGCGGCGGTGCGTGCGCTGCGCGTCGACTTTGCGGGCGAGCAGGCGGCGGATGGTGGAGGCCCGGCGCGCGAGTGGTTCGCAACCGTCACTGCTGGCTGGAACCACAGCGACACGATCGCGCACCATGGATGGTTCCTCCCTCACCCCAACGACGACGACGACAGCGACGCTGAGACCACCGCGGCGTTTCTTGCGCTGCTGCTAGGATTGGCGGCATTGCACAGTGCCAAGCTCACTTTGCCATTCGCGCTGCCGGACGTTGCATTCAAGATCGCGGTTGCTGCGGACTTGGACTCGGTCTCGCTGCTGCCGATGGATCTCGAGTTCATGGATGCACGGCTGGCGAGGTCGCTGCAGGCGGTGCTTGACTGGCAACCTCCCGCAGGCGCTGCTGATGCAGATACCGCGTTCGATGCGACCTTCTCGCTCACGTGGAGCACGACCATCCGCACACACGATGGCGGCGTCAAGACGATCGACCTCGTACCTGGAGGTCGGCACCGAGCGGTGCGCATGATCGAGAGGCACGATTTCGTGTCGAAGCTCATCTGGCGCGTGCTGGTGGGCTCGGCACGGGGGCGCGTAGGCGCGTTCCATGCGGCGTGGCAGAGCATCATGCCGTCCGCGTGGCTGGGCAAGGAGTGTGGTGCGGAGTCGGCTAGCGATGTTCTCGCACGCGGCGGGTTGGCAGTATCGCTGTTTGCCCCCAGCGAGCTCAACGAGGCGCTCGTGGCGCTCCCTGCATCGCCGAGTGCATCCGTGGCGCGGCTGGATGTGCAGGACCTCCGTGCCAGCACGGAAGTCATCTCCCAAAATACGGGTGCAAGGGTGGTCGAGTGGTTCTGGGAAGTGTGGGCCGCGTTGGAGGCGGGGGAACAGCGACGCATGCTGGCGTTTATCACGGGCGCGCAGGATCTGCCCGCCACGGGTGCGCGCGGCGTCGGGCTGCGCATACACCTCGTGCCCACCGAGCAGGCGGATGCAAAGTCGTGGCCGTTGCCCTGGTCATCGACGTGCACGGCAACGCTGTTCCTGCCCACGTATCCGACCCGGCACCTGCTCCAGCAGAAGGTAGGGATCGCCATTGAACACTTTCAGGGCTTCGGTCTGCGCTGAACAGGCACAGTCTGGCAAATGCAATCCCGTTTCTCTATCGCCGTGGATCGTGCGTGTCTATCGTCGTGCTTGTTCCACCAGCCAGTCACCCTACAACACGGCACCGATGCAAAAGTCAGCGAAATCGCCCACACCGCAATGCAGGGACGTGCAACTTACAATCTCGGTGAGCACATCAAGTGTCTTTTGCGTGTCCTCCTCGGACATTCCCTGGACGTGTTTCATCATTACTGTGGCATCGTCCACCAAGAGGAAAGGGTCAGCAAGCGCGCACATGGCTCGGCAGAGAGAAGGGTTGGGCAAACATACCGTGTTCGTAGCCGGGCCAGATCTTGATGCTCTTGTGTTCGGGCGGGGTGGCGACCTTTTCGAAGAACATCTTGCTGCCGTTGGGGTCGGTGACTCTATCGTTGGCGCCGTGGTGGATGGTGAGGGGGCAGGTGATGAGATGTGCCTTTTTCGCCAGATCCTCGATGCCGGCGACGATGGCGAGACCGGTGCTGATGCGCAGCTTGCCCTTGTAGGTGAGTGGGTCTGCCTCGAATTCGTGCTCGACGCGCGGGTCGTCGGATACGTTGCCCTTGATCGCGGTGACCATGGGCAGCCTGCCGGCGAAGAAGCGCAGCACGTGGGCAATGTACTCGACCGCCTTGTTGGGACGCGACTGGGACGAGATGGTGATCATGGGTGCTGCCACCGCGACGCCCGACAGCGAGGGCCTGTACGGCGCCGGCTTGCCCGGCAGCACGGCCGAGCTCGAGCCGTTGCCGTGGTCGTGTGGCGGCTTGTGGTGGGCGAGCGGCGTGCGTTCGTGTGCATTGAGTGCCTCTTCGACCAGCTCGTCGTCCGTGACGGTCTTGGCCTGCTCGCTCGGTGTCTGCTTGATCGCCAGATCCGGGCCTCCATCCTGCCCCTGCTCGAGCGGCGGATAGAGCGCGGCATAGTAGAGCACGGTAAATGCGCCCATGCTGTGTCCCTCTGCAAACAGCTTACGCTCGCGGCCCGCCTTTCCAAGCAGGCCCGACTCCTCGTCCCAGGTGCGCACGTCCATGACCACCGCATGCATGGCGCGCGCATTGATCTTCATGCTGGGCAGGTAGCCGTGCAGCCCCGTGCTGCGACCGAAGCTGGGCAGGTCGATCGCAATCACGCGGAAGCCGCGCTTCATAAAGTGGAGCGCGTGCGGCGCGAGCTTGCCCGCATAGTCGTTGATGCCGTGCGCAAGCACAATGTCCGAATGCAGCTGTTCGCGCTCGAGCGCCTCGGGGCACGTCCACACATAGTACGTCACAAACGACCACTTCTCCTTGTCCCACGAGCCGGACTCAAGCAGCGAGTGCGCCGGGATGAGCACGCGGCGGCGGATGGCGGATACTTCTGGGTTCGAGTAGATCAGCCGATGCTCCGACGCCGAGTAGGGGATGTCGGAACGGCCAAAGGTGGGATCGCCGCCGCCCGGGGTGAGCAGGTTGAGGTGGCATAAGAGCGGCTCGGTGAAGACGTTGTGGATGAGCCTGAGGTACTCCATCTTTGCGGGCCGAGGCGAGGGGAGGGAGGGGAGG